TTCATGGAAAAAACAAGGAGCATCACTGCACCTCCTCACTCTCACTAAGAAAAGAGTATAAGAAGTCAAACTTAGTGACCTTAAACAAAGTGCTCTTGGGAGACACCCTAAGCCTATCCTTGTATATAGTTTCTTTTCTTGCTTTCTTTGGTTGTTTTTAGGATGTTTTAATCTTTTGTTCAAGTGTGTTTAGGTTTTAGAGAGTTCCAGGATGAGTTTTGAAAGTATTGGAGAAGAGAAAAGATGAAAAATCGGCTGAGGAATGCATTCATATCGACATGATTTCTCTTGGTGTGTTTGCTCGGTGTAAACAAGAAGAAGATGCCGAGAAAATATCGACCACCACACCGAGCAAAATGAGGTCGGTGCAGTGCAGAAGGAGCCAAGCCTTGTTCCACACCGACATGATTTCATTTGGTGCACTTGCTCGGTGTAAACAGGAAGGAAAAGCCGAGAGAATATCGACCACCACACCGAGTAAAATGAGGTCGGTGTGGTGCATGAAGAATCCAAGTCTTGCTCCACACCGAGGAGATTCACCTCGGTGCAAGACCTCGGTGCAAGAAAGGAGAAAACTTAGAAGCACACCGACCTCCACACCGAGTTGATTCACGTCGATATGACTGCAAGAGCGCTTCAAAGATTGAACGCAACGGATGGTTTACAGACCGATTTGGCCTTTGACGTCTTCATCAGTATTACAATTGAGATAAATTTCCAATGAAGTTTGAATCGGGCCATTCGGATCAGTGGTTAGAATGTTACACCCGTTTGAACGCGCGCCTGTCTCTCAGCCGAAATACAGACCGAACCATTGTGGCTCAAAGAACCAGTCCAAAGGGAGCATTACACTCAGAAACAGTCTAGGAGCTCTTCACAAAAGTTGTAGAAGATTGAGTCAGTGATCCAATGAAGCTAATCTCGAATCATTCTGATAAGTGGTTCGGAAGATAGGTGGATTCTCGCTGAGCATATGTCGACACTACCTTGGCGCCCCCCTTGTCTCAAGTTATCCATAGGACTGTCCAGGCAATTTCAAAGCTTCAGCTACACCCAGGTGTCTCACACTGACAATTAAGGAGTCTCATCTTCAACCAAATAGGCCCAAAATCTCCAGCCCAATCTACAAGCCTTTAAAGAGGTAACACTCCAACTTGTACATAGCATTTAGAATAGCTTTTTTTCTCTTTTGCATTTTGAATTTTTGCTTTGCACTTCTCTCTTATGCTTTTATAACACAAGGGACTGTGTTATCTAAGTGTGGGGGAGGGGTTTTGTGTCTACTAATCATATTTGTTCTTTTCTTATTTTTCCATTCCATTTTGAGTCTCATCTTGCATTCATCTATGTGCATGTAAAAACCAAAAAAAAAATAAAAAAAAAATCTGGAAATTTTAACACAAAAAATGATCATGTAGTTGCATTCACATTTTTAGGATTGAGTCTAGTTTGCATCATATTGGTTGCATCTTGCTGGGAGTAATGATAGGTTGCATCCTTGAGAGTACATCACTTTGAGAATTTGGATTAAATATGCTTGTGAAATGACTTCTGTGCTTGCAAGGCTTGAAATGATCTGAATCTGAGAAGCAAGTTTGAATTGAACTCAACTCTAATAAGTGAAAACCTTGAACTTGACTTGAAATTATCTTGTGATGCATTGTTTGAATAGGCTTGTGGATACCAATATACATATTTGAGCTAGAATCCTGTTTTTACCATCCTCTTCCTTAGCTCAAATAGCTGAATCCACATTTGGATCAGTTTTACCTCACCCTGAACCCATCCTTCTTTCAAGCCAATTGTTTGTGTGTGATTGAAAGGCCACCTTGGACCAAACTTAGCAGAAAGTGTTTGGTTTAGGGCGACAAGGGCAAGTCTCATTGAGTGGTAAGTTCCATCATCAAGGAACTGAGAGATTTTGCGAGAACTAAGTGTGGGGGAATAATTGTTGGTGGGTGGAAAAAGGAGAGATGAGTGGAAACAAAAGGAGAATGGTGAGAACTAGGGAATAGAAAAAGAAAAGATATCAGTCTTGGAAGTTTTGAGTCAAAGAAAGTGAACTCTAGTGTTTTGGAAAGAAAGAGTCTAGCCTCTAAGTGAAAGAAAAAGAAAAGAAGCCAAAGAGCTCAAATGTTCTAAAAAAGGAAAGAAAAAGAGGCTAGAGGTTACAAAAGAAAGTGAAAAAGAGCTGTGTAAAGTTTGAACTCCAAGACTTGTGTATGAAAAGGAAAAGAGAATCCCCTAGAGAAGAATGAGTGTGAAAAGTAAGCAATTGAGGAAACTTTGAGTAGAGTGTGGGGTGGGATGAGTCCTTGCCCTTGTATGCATATGTTGCCTTTTACCTTTAGCATTCTGCCAATGTTTGGTCATTCATAGAGAGATCCTTTTGCTGCATTGAACCCACTCAGGCATTGATGAAATCATTTTAGTCTCATAACCTCACCCTAGCCAAACTCTGTTTGTTTAAACAATGCATCATTTGATCCACTTGGTAAAAAGCTTAATGAATGTTAAAGAGTTGAGGAATAGGAGAACTTGTGGAGATTACTGTTGAGTTGATACATCAAAGTATGGTTTTGCATTGCATATTGAGCATGAACTTGAATTCTCTTAGTGGTCACTTCTCTCAAAGGTAATAAGAACTCCCATGCATTCAACCTCTCTCTCTCATTTGTTCTTGTTTGCTTGAGGACAAGCAAAGGACAAGTGTGGGGGAGGTGATATACTCATATTTTGTCATGTTTAGGATTACATTTTTGTCCAAATATTGAGTCTCATGCATACATTTAGGTAGTTTTACATATATTTGTCTTTGCTTTTGTATTTAGTTAGGAATTACATTAGGTCCTACAGATTTTTGCACTTTTAGAGTGTTTACAGGTCATTTGGGCTAATTGGGAGCAATTGGGACAAAAGCCATGGAGAGACCATCACCTTATGTGCATCAGACTCGGACAAGTGTTATGGAGCCGACAATCCCTCAACTTTATCACCTGAGAAGGAGGACTTGCACCAGGATTCAGCCTCTGTAGTCTTCATACCGAATCAAGAGGGTCGATTCTAGTTTCCAGAGCACTTGAGATCGTCCTATTTGGAGTTGTGAGCTGAACGTTACGGCGATAAGAAGCAGTACATGTCTCGGAGCGGATAAAGGACCAAAGCAACGCGCATAAAAGAACCGGTGGAACGGAGCCCTTGCCGACGTCATCTGCACCCGAATCCTTCAGCAACGTTGGAGCTGAAGGAGCTATCTGGCTCATGGAGTTGACCTATCAAGGTTTGGACCAGTGAGCAAGGAGTTATGAAGGATATGGTGCAAGCGATCTACATTCATATCGAGAAGGAGTACCGACCAAAATCTGGTTTTGGAAGCCAAAATGCCGAAGAAATATCGACGTCCTGCACCGACTGAATCCTGCTCGGTATTGATCCCCTGAAGCTTTATTCTCTTTTTGTTTTTTGCCTCTTTTGTGAAAACCCAGATTTGTTAAGAGATATCTCAAGGATTTAATCAATCTAAATCTGTTTCTTAACATCTTTTTTCTTATCTTTGCTTCTAATCATGTTTAACATCACCTCTTGCAAAAGATTAGGTGTGTTAAGCATGATTAGTGAGTAGTCTTCTTTTAAGCTTCTAGGTGTGTAGATTAGGGTGCTTAGATGTTTGATTTGTGATGTTTAGGTTCTAGATTCTCATTTCCTTTCCTTAGTTAGCTGCTCTTAATGCCTTATTTCCTTAAGAAAGTGAAATTTGAGTTCATAGGCATTTCATGCACCAAAGGTGTTTGATGAAATGTCTGAATGAGCTAACTTAAGGGTTTATGTTTTGAATGCCATGGCAATGTTTGTTTGAAGCATAAATGACATATTTGAACTGTTTATTAATGCATATTGATCATTATTACCACTAATGAGAGTTAGGTTTGAATGCTGATTAGTATAGTGGTCATTGTCTTGGGAAAGAAATGATCTTGCTTTGAGTTCTAAGTTGATTGGAATTTGAGATCATGTGATGCTTGCTTTATCTTTCTGTATAAGATTCAGTCTTTCTTAGCTCTTATTTTGATGCACAAAGAGGCTGTCTGGTCATATTAGACTTGGAACCTTATGCTTGTTAATTGCTTATTCACTAATGGGAATTAGTCTTGATTAAGTAATTTGCAAAGGGATATCTGTCATGGGAATGAATTAATATATTTTGGAAGTCTAGACTAAAGAATTGCAAGTGTTGTATTGTTTGCTTAGCATCATGAATTAAGTATTGAAAGCACCCTGATCAATGATCACATCTAGAGGTTTAGCTTTATCTTTATTTGTATTTGAGCATTTTCTTTGTTGTCTTGCTTGTTTAGTTCTTAATTACTGCTTGCTTGTTCTTGCTTGTTTTATGTTTATAGATCACTTAATCACCAACCTGTTTCATTGGACTTGAATTAAGATCGTTCCATATAGTCTTGGTGTCTAGAATCTCTCCATTTGGATTGACCCTCAAGTGCTACAACACAAGAGGTTAATTGACCTTAGTAGGCTAAAAACTTACTATCAGAATTCCTGGGAAATCTACTTCGGGCGGAATAACGCACTCTGCTCCGTAAACCAGGGCAAAGGGGGTCTCTCCTGTAGCTCGTCTCAGAGTTGTTCGGTGATACCATAACACTCCCTCTAACTCATCCGCCCAACAACCTTTTTTAGCGTCGAGCCGTTTCTTCAGTCCGTCGAGAATCGTCTTATTAGCCGCTTCGGCTTGACCATTTCTTTGTGGGTATCTCGGTGTCGACTTGCTCAATCGTATTTTCCATTTCTCACAAAAATCTTCAAACCGAGCCCAGATGAACTAGGATCCATTGTTTGTAACAATCTCGTAAGGGAGCCTATGTTGACAGGTTATATTCTTTCAGACGAAATGCTCGACTTGGACCTCTTTGATGCTCGCATACGAATCGGCTTCGACCCACTTGGAAAAATAATCGGTTAGAACCAATAGGAATCGTTTCTGTTTAGACTTTTGCAAAGGTCTGACGATGTCCATTGACCACCTCATAAACGGATAAGGAGCCGAGACTGATGATAATAGTTCGGTAGGCTGATGGATGGTTGGGGCGTGCCTGGCATTTTTCACACTTGACGGAGAATTTCTCGCAATCTTTCACCATGGTTGGCCAGTAGTAACCGTGTCGCTTTATCTTGATTGCTAAAGATCTTCCGCTCGCATGGTTTCCGTATGCGCCACTATGAGCTTCTTCCATGATCTTTCTCGCTTCGGCTCCTTTGATACATGTCAGCAATGGTCCCGAAAATTGCCACTTGAAGACGTTTCCGTCAGCAATGGTCAGCAATGCTTGAGCTTTGAGTTTCTGAGCTGCCCACCTGTCTGATGGTACTTCTCCGTCTGCAATGTACGTCCGAATTGCTCCCATCCATTCTTTGTCACTCCCATACTCTGTTGTTTCTCGGGAAACATCTTCGTCCATGTCTTGCTCTTCTTCGGGAGGATTGATCAGATTGACTCCGTCTACGACACCGATGTCGGGTTTGTCGATGGATTCCACCGGTATGACCCTCCTCAATCCTGGATCCGAGGTTGAAGCGAGGGCAGCTAGGGCGTCGGCGGACGCATTTTCCCCCCGAGGTATTCGTGTAAGCTCGAATTCCTCTAACTGCTTCGTCAACTCTTGAACCACTTTCAGATACGCTTTCATTCTTCGGTTCGCAACTATCTGTGAATCGCAGAAGGCACGGATTTTCTGGATTCGGATATCAAGTGCGAGCCGAAGTCCGGCGATTAATGTCTCGTATTCAGCTTCGTTGTTGGATGCATGAAACGTGAGATGAAATGACTGTTCAATGACCTCGCTGGTTGGCGATGTTAGTCATATCCCTATCCTTGAACCCTGCTTTGATGACGAACCATCAATATGCAATGTCCATGTAGACTCGGAGGTCAGCTCTTCTACTCCTTCTGTTTCTACTCCTTCTGTCGGAAGTTCGATCAAGAAATCGGCTAATACTAGAGACTTCGCACACGACATGTTCCTGTATTCGATGTCGTATTCACTTAGCTCCACCGCCCATTTCGCTAGCCTTCCTAACTCGCTTGGGTTATGCAGGATGCTTCGTAGTGGCAGACTACGATCGAGTGCGACTGGAAGTATGGTCTCAGTTTCCGAGTCGACATTACGACAGCTAAGGGAACCTTCTCCATTTGCGGATAACGCGTTTCTGCCTCTGTTAAACTGCAGCTCACATAGAAGACAGGTTTTTGCTCTCCCCGCTCTTCACTAACCAGTACTCCACTTACTGCGGTTAATGACACGGCGATATACAGGAACAGTGGTTCTCCTTCCACTGGCTTCGCAAGGACCGGAGGATTCACCAAGTAGACTTTCAGATCTTGGAATGCCTTTTCACACCGTTCGTCTCATTTCAAATTTCTTATAGCCCCTAAGGGTATCATAGAAAGGTAGACATTTGTCAGTCGACCTGAAAACAAAATGGTTGAGAGCTGCTACGCGTCCTGTCATTCTTTGAACTTCTTGTTTCGTCCTCGGAGACGCCATTTCTATCAACGCATTGGTTTGCTTTGGATTTGCTTCGATTCCTCGATGGGTTACGAGGTATCCAAGGAACACTCCAGACGTCACCGTGAATCGACACTTCGCCGGATTCAGCTTCATGTTATGCAAGTTCAGCTGCTCGAAACAGTCTTGCAAATGCTTCACGTGATCCTTCTCCTCGAGCGACTTAACCAGCATGTCATCAATATAAACCTCCATCGTCTTGCCAAGTTGTTCTGTAAACATTTTGTTGACGAGCCTCGGATAAGTTGCGTCCGCATTCTTGAGTCCAAAAGGCATCACCTTGTGGCAGTAAATTCCCCGATCTGTTATGAATTCCGATTTTTCCCTATCGTCCGGTTCATGAATATCTGATTGTACCCCAAAAAAGCGTCCATGAATGTGAGCAGTTTGTTCCCCGCCGTAGCTTCGACTAGTCGATCGATATGAGGTAGCGGGGTACTGTCCTTCGGGCACGCGTTATTGAGGTCGGTAAAATCTACCCACAAACGCCATTTACCGTTTCTTCTTCACTACTACGGGATTGGCGAGCCAATCTGGGTATTTTGTCTCAGAAATCAAACCCACCTTTAAGAGTCATTCCACTTCGTCGTTCACTGTCTTGGCTCAGTCGGGACCTATATTTCTCCTCTTTTGCTTCACCGGTTTGAACGTCGGGTCTACGTTGAGCTCATGGCACGCCACGTCAATGCTAATTCCTGGCATGTCTTCCGCAGTCCATGCAAATGTTCCAACGTTCTGTTTTAAGAAAGCGACAAGCTCCGCCTTAATGGCCTCGTCAAGTGTTGCTCCGATCTCTATGCACCGCTCCGGATGTAATTCGTCTATGCATACCAAGATCACCGGATCACAGCTCGGCGCGCTCTTCTCCTCACGCACCTCGCCGATCTGTAATTGCTATAAGATCTTGGCGAGCTCGTTCACAGGTTCTCGGTTCGTCTGTAGCTTTTTCCTGTTTTTGTCTGCGATCGAGTCTACCACGGGCTTCCTCAACTTATGCTCGGCCAAAAAAAAAAATATGCGACTCTTTTTGGTTTCTCCATATCGTCTTGTTTCCGCCAGGAGTCGGGAACTTGACGCATAAATGATATGTTTATGGAACGGCTCGCATCGAGTTCAACCACGGCGTTCCCATTATTACGTTGTAAATTGCCGGATGATCAGCTACGGAAAACTCCACGACTTTCGTTACTCCTCCTGCTTGCACGGGAAGCCTGATCGTCCCGGTCTTCATCGTTGTTTTCCTTGAGAATCCCGTTAATGGCTTCAGGACGGCAGTTACTTCGGACAAATCGATTTTCATCCTCCTAAGGGTCTCGCGGAAGATAAAGTCTAATGAACTTCCCGTATCGATTGATACTCTGGCGATATCGTGATCCCTAATGGTAAGCTCGATTACAAGGAGATCACTATGTGGCGCGTCGATTCTCACTGTTTTGTCTTCCAAAAACGAGATTATGGTAGCCGGATAGCTCGGCAGCTCCAACCAATTAAGACTTGCATCGGCTCTCTACTGCAAATCTTTAATCGACGATACGGTGTCGAGACAGTATTGCGATCCACCCATTATCATATTGATCCTTCTTCTGGGCCATCTCGCGGATCCTCGTTATTCCTCCTTCCTTGCTTTTGGGCTTTGCCTCGGTTTCCTTGCTCTCTGTTCCGGGGGTTAACTTCGTCACCTTCTTGCTTCTTGTCTTCGGGCTCCTTGGCAGCTGCGGTTTCTTCGGGCTCTCCTGTTATGCGCTTTGCGGCGAGTCTGGCTGCCAAGAACCGACAGTTTGCTGTTGAGTGCCCGTAGAAGTGGTGGTGTTTGCAGAATGCTTTTTCGTCATAAGTTTGGGGGTTCCAAGTCCAAGTATTCCATGGTCCTTTGCCTCGTCCTGCTCCCACTTGATAATTGTGGGCTCCTTGTAGTCTCGGCCCTTCGTGGTGCACATAGTCATTGCTTCTCACATTCCTTTGACGCGTCGTCAGAGAATTTCGGATCACCGCTTTTGTCGACTCGTACTGCTCGTCTAGGTTCTTCATCTCTTCTTCATTCATGACAAAGTCGGCAGAGCGATGTAGAGCATCTTGGAAAGTGAGCGGCGTGTTCAACGCCATTTCTCTCCGGAACTCGGACTTATACCACAGCGATCTTTTCAAGGCTTCGAGAGCTGCCTTGTCGCTCATTCCTTCAACCTTCAACACCACTGCTTTAAACCAAGCCATGTAAGCTCTCAATGGCTCGTTTGATCCTTGAGACAAAGTCCATAGATCGGCATCAGAGGTTCCTCGGTCCATGAACATGGAGTATTGTTTCAGAAAAACGGCAGACAGCTGCTGAAAATTATTAATGGAGTTGCGCTCAAGCCTCGAGAACCATTCCAATGCTGCGCTTTTCAGGTGTTCGACAAAAAGGAGGCAGAAACCAGCATCTCTTTCGGCTTCGCTGAGATTGGGGGTGTTTCTCGAGAAGGCTCGTCCCATTCCGATCTGAAAAGCTGGGATATGTTCCTTCGGGTCGGTTGTCCCTTCGTAGAAAAGAATTCTTATCTTTCCCAGTTCAGGGATCCGAGCTTCGGTGATTCACGCCGTGAATGGCGTACGTTGTGTTTCTTCCAAAATACGATCTATCTCCAGTGCCGAACTGATTGCACGATGGACTTGGGATCGGACTACCTTCATTTTGGCGGCTGTCCGAGCTATAGTAGCTCGGAGCTCGTTCATCTCCTTCATCTGGTTGTTTTTTCGCGGCTCGTCGACTTCGTCTTCGATACTGCCACCATTTAGAGCGGCTCTTCGTGCACTGCCGCGTTGATTTCCTTTTCGTGCCAAGCTATCATGCTTCATCTGCTCGAACCAGAGCAAATTTTCCTCTTCCTCCGTCAGGCTTTGATTTCGGAGCGCGTGTCATCCTCTTCGTTTGTCCTTGCTCCTTCCAACGCCTCTTGGAGTTCGGCTCGGGTAATTCGTCCTGAAGCACGGCTCGTTTGAATTAACCACATTACTGCTATTTCATGAATGCCAATGGGTTCTCTCCCAGTACGCTACCTCGGTCTCTCTCTCGGCATGAACAAGCTGTCCATCCTCAATTGTGAACCTCTCCTTCGAAGCATGAAATCAAGAATCAGTTCTTGGTCATCATAGTATCTCTTATTAGCTAGCAGGCTGGTGATGATTAACATTGTTGTTGCGGGTCTAACAAATTTTTGGTGCAGCGCTTCTTTTTCTCCCTAAGGAATGCACTAAACAACTTAATTCTATGTGTGCTAGCTGCTTTCTTGTGGAAAATTCTCTAGAAGGAAGATACAATGGCACCAAAGTTTCTTGGGAAAACTTGGCGATGCTAAAGAAGAAGGTGGACTGGGAATTAATAATCTGGACACTTGGAATCGTACCTGCTCCATTAAATTGCTATGGATGCTTCTGTTCAAAACCAAGTCTATATGGGTTGCTTGGATCCACCAGAATGTTATAAAGATGTGATTATCTGGGAGATCAAAGAGAAGTAAAAGCACACTTGGATATTCAAGGTTCTGTGCCAAAGAATGTCATTATTTAATGGGCTCGTGTAATACCTGGGAATGGAAGGAAGACTAGATTCTGGGCTGATCCTTGGACTCCTTTTGGTGCCCTGATCACCTTCATTGAAGAGAATGGCCCTCGACTTTCTGGTATCCCTCTGGATGCTTTAGTGAGATCAAGATGGAGATGGGGGTACTTGACAACTACCGCCGGCTGTTCACATAGGATGGATGATAACACCGTATTTTGACCACTTTTATGGATCATTTTGAAATACTTTTTCTATATTTTTAATTGTTTTTAAGTACTATTATTACGTTTTTCTAGTATGTGTAGTTCTAATACTCTTTTTTCAGGTAAGTTAGGGAAAAGCTTAACAAAATGATTGAAGGCCTTCTCACCGTCTGATCCAGCTCAAATTTGGAGATCTTAAAGATGGAAGTATCAGCTTTCCAACACACTTTACAGCTTGGCAATCCAACGGTTCAATCAAAATATACGCGAAGAGCAAGATGTCCTGTAAACCAGCCGGCAAGCATTTCCACCCGCGGCCAACAGACCATTTCCCGCGGTCAGAAGCACCGCGACCGCGGCCAGCCACTCATTCCCCGCGGTCGCAATCATCCAAACTGCGGCCAACTACCTCCGAGCCCGAAGGCCCTCTTTTCTGAAGCCCAAAATGATTCCCTCACTTGGAGAAACCCTAAGTGACGCCCAGAGATGTCTTGAGCACTATAAATACATGTTTTAGGAACCCTAATTCGTAGGCCTTCATATGTTCTTATTGTTTTAGAATACTTTTTAAGTTTTAGGTTTTAGGGAGAGAGAGTTTTGTCCCTTGAACCCTTGTTCTTTATTTTTCAATTTCGGTTTCTATTCTATTTTTTAATACTATGTTTTTGATTTCGTTCATCATGTCTGAGTAGTTTTATTGTTGGGATTAAGGGATTTTCGATGGGGATTTATATGTTCGATGAGGATTCCATGAGCTTTTGAGCCGAATCTCAGAACTTTTTCTTCTGAATTCGTTTTTACTGTATGAGAGTAGCGTCATGAATTACAATCTGATCCAGATGCTTGGTGACACGAAAGTGTTCATCCGGTGTCAGATCTAGTTTGGGAGAGCAAAACAAACATAGGAATGGAAACCTACCTATGGGCGATTTGTAAATGCTGACGAGTCTTAACCATAATGCATCTCTTCTTTTCCAGGGCCAGACTGGAAACCTACTGGTCAGGGTTGAGAGAGATAGTTGTCTATGATCACGACAGTGGCATATTCATACGTCCGTGACTCCAGTTCGAAAAGTTTAAGCTAAGATCTTATCAAATTTACTCTCTAGCAATGTTTTGAATCGTTCGTACCCCTGAGAAAACTTCCCTGAACCCCAACGCTTTCTTCCTTATAGATTCACACCGTTTTTATTTCAAGCTTTAGTTCAATATTCTCATTCCTTTTTAATCGATTTCCATTTAAGCAATTAGATTAGCCGTTTTTCTCATTTTTACCCGTTTTCGTTAAGTTTAGTTATTAGGTCATTTTAATTCCCGTAGTTTCTTTTTAGATTTTGTTTTTACATTTCAAACACACCATCAAAACTCCCACAAAACCGTTTGGTTCTAGACTTCCTTACTTTATATTTCTTTCGAAGGCTTTTGCAGGAAAGATCCTCCTTCCCTGTGGATTCGATCCCTAAGTACTACAATCGATCAGCTGTGCACTTGCGGATATTGATTTCATTTAGGGTAAAACTTGACAACCCTCACAACATCGATGACACATCAATGGAGCACGTACACTGTCACTTAACCACTGCCTCCATCGCATACTCGCTTGAGGACACTCAACAATGGAGGATCAAGGGTATAATTCATCAGAGCTTCAGTTCCTCTGCCATTTATGGCTTGATAAGAGAGAGAGAGAAAACCTCCAGTCTCTTGGCACCCGCTGATATGTCTGAGAAGAGGAATCCAAAAGCATAAAATCATTGCTTGGTTTTTCATTCTTAACAGGTGCCCGACTCTCGACAAATTTTTTTCTTGAGGCATGATATATTCATAAATTGCATCATTTAGTGTACATATTTGAGTCCAAATCATGTCTCATTTGCATACATTTTAGGTCTTTAGACATTGTTTGAGGACTTAGGAGATTGCATTAGGTCCAAGAGAGTTTTGCATGATTTGGAGTGTTATACATGTGCTTATGGAGCCTATTTGGAGTGGAGAATGTGAACCAGATGAAGAAATGGAGTTGAAATGATCAAAAATGGTGAAAAAGGCATTATGGAGCTTCTCGGCAAAAAGGCTGTACTGCTTGTCGGAGATTCTCGACTAAAATCCATACCGCGGGTAGGATTCTCGGCCAAAACACGTACTGGTCGCTTAAGCTTCTCGGCCAAAACTCTCGGGTGCAGATACATCTCAGAAATCCCGTTACCAAAAGATCTTGCTGGTCGATTTAGCTTCCGGAGTCTTCAGTAAAGATCACGATAATTGCGTCTAGATTCCATAACACTTTGAATCAAGGTATTTAGAGCAGCGAGCTGAAAGATACGCCCACCGGAAGACAGACCTGTCTCGCATCCATTCCAGAGCAATCCGATATGTCTGAAAGATTGCCTATCCGGGGAGTCTTAACGTCCGATTCAGCTTACAGGGTCTTCAAGAAAGTTTGAGATGATCAGGTCACGGATCCAGAACAGGTGGAATCATTGGATTTGGAGTCATGAGCTGAGAGTTAAGCTCATCGGAAGATACACCTATCTCGCTACACACTACAAGAAAGAATGTCTTTTACGTCGGAACATATCGACGCAAAATCAACGTAATGGCTCAATTGCGTCGAATTAGCGACAAAACAAAAATCTTCGTAGAACAATCATCGTAAAACAGAAATCATCGTAAAATCGACGTAAAATTTTCAACTCCCTGAAATCGTCGTAATCTCGTCGGAACATATTTGTCGTAAGAGCGACGTAATATTTCCAACGCAAGTACGATGAAATTATTTCAACACAACATCGACATAAAATCGATGTAATGTTACATCAAATTTACAACGATTACGAGACAATCTATTTTGTCAAAAAAAACAGTTAAAATTATTAAAGATCGACGTAAATTCGTCGTAAAATTTTTGTCGTAAATTCGATGTAAATATACGACGAGTTTACGTCGAATAGTAAAGAAAAATAATTATGATAATTTGATTTTTAATTAATAAATTAATATTAAAAATAAATTAATAAATGAATATTAAATAATAAAAATTATAATTTAAAATTTAAATTCAAAAATAATTAATATATTAAAATACAAAATTAAATACAAAATGTTTTTAAAAATAAAACTAATCTACAAAGTTATTTCATAATCGTCGAGGTTGAGATCGAAGTTCCGAGGAGGTTCTCCGTCATGTTCGCCCGTAGCCTCTATACCGTCGTTTCCCGTCTGAACTACGGGATCCGAAGTCTAACCCTGTGTCGTCGGCTGGTCAGAAGATCCACCGGAAGAACCCCTGCAATAATCCATGCCCACTGTTACCTCTCTCGGATTGCGGTAGCCAACTGCGGAACCGCTGCCACTATGATGTCGAAGAGGCCGTTCATCTCGGACAGCTCCTGCTTCTGGGCCACTTGCTCATGCCGTAAACTGGTGATCTCAGCATTGGCCGTAGCAAGCTCCTGTCGCAGTTGACTCGGATCCCGAAGACGAGGCGACGGGACAGTCTCTAATAGAGCCCATCCCTAAGGTGCAGCCCTTCTTCTTCGGAGCAACCTACAAACAAAAGTGAAAACGTTAGATCATAACTATACATATATATACAGATAATTAAGTATATATATATTAAATTAAAAAAATATTGAAATCATACCTCCTCGAAGATCTTGTCTTGCTCGAGAACGGTCAAAGGTACTTGGATAGTACCGTCAGTTGTGACCTGGGTTTCCCGCTCAGCGATCCTCTGCATAGCTGCGTTGTAGATCTCAAATGACCGAGCATCTATAAAAGTCTCGTCCTTCTTCAAGTGAGTGGTCTCGAAGAGCTTCGTCATTGGAGGAAGCTCTCCTCCGTTCTCCTCGGACTACCAAAAAAGTTAAAATTAAACATTAGTAAATATAAACAAAATATATTATATAATTTTAAATAATTGAAAAATAAAAATGTAAATAATTAAAATTACTTACCATCATCAGACGTCTTCCTGAAAATAGTATTTGGCCAGAAGTGTGCAGGGTCACTAACTTCCGACCGTCAGGACCGACCCGGTTTCGAACGCCCGAATACTTAGCAGCTACGTCTTAGGCATGCGGGTCTATCCA